GTGAAGCTCTTGCAATTTTTGAAACGAATGTGCGCGGCGCTAAGGCGAGAGCCACATTTTGAAAACGACCCGCCCTGAAGCCGTGAAACGCTGGCAAATTTTTAAAGCGAGTGTGCGCGGCGCTTAGGCGAGAGCCACATTTTGAAAACCACCCGCCCTCCATCTGTGAATTTGTTTTCACTTTTTAAGCTTCAGAGTCATAAATGGTAAGAAAGTCTCAGGCGAACCGCCCGGCCTGCCCTAAAAACTAGCGTCGGGATGCGACAGGGAGGAGTTATCTACAAGGAGAAGGAATGGAGGAGGAGGACGAGGAGAAGGACCATTGTAAAAGAAGTCTCATGCGAAACGCCCGGCCCGCCGTGGCGACATGTCGGGGGGCGCGACAGGGAGGAGTTTTTCAGTTCAAAAGGGACGGATGATGATGATGGTGATGATGACGATTGATGATGCTGCTGATGATGATGGCATGAGGACGATGATGATGATGCGGGTGATGATGATGATGCTGATGATGATGATGCTGGTGATAATGATGCGGATGATGATGATGATGCTGATGCTGCTGCTGATGATGACGATGATGATGATGATGATGATGATGAGGAGGAGGATGATGATGATGATGATGATGATGCTGATGATGATGATGATGATGAGGAGGAGGAGGAGGAGGAGGAGATGAGGGGGAGGATGAGGAGGAAGAGGAGGAGGAGGAGGAGGAGGAGGAGGAGAGGAGGTGGATGGGGGTTGATGATATGATGATGATGATGATGAGATGATGAGGATGGAGGAGGAGGAGGAGGAGAGAGGAGGAGGAGGAGGAGGAGGAGGAGGAGGAGGAGGAGATGACGAGGAGGAGGAGGAGGAGGAGGAGGACGAGGAGGAGGAGGAGGAGGATGACGAGGAGGAGGAGGAGGAGGAGGAGGAGGAGGAGGAGGAGGAGGAGGAGGAGGAGGAGGGCATGCAGTAACCGAGGCGGCGCCCGCCCGATTTCCGCCGCGGGCCGCCCGTGCGGATGCGGGGACCCGCCGCCCGCCGAGGCGCCCGCCGCGGCGGCGCGGCGGCGCGGGCCGGCGCCGGGAGGCTGCCGCTGTGCCTTCTGCTGCCGGGCTTGGCGGCGTGTGCGGGCGGGCGGGGCGAGGGCCAGGTTGAGAGTCGGAGGCCTTGAGGTCGGCACCCGCACCAGTACCGGCGGTTGTCTTCACCGAGGGAGGATGGTCCTGATCCCGGGGATGGTGGTAATGCTCGGTCTTCGTAGGTGGGTGGGCGCTAGAATCCAGGATCATCTTCTCCCAGTGGAGGCGCCCCCCTCGTGCTGGGCCAGAGTCCCAGAGACCCTCGCTTTTGAAAAATCACGACGCAAGGTGTCTGGCAACTTTGGACCTCTGCGAGCCCTTGCTGGGCCGGGGGGCCGTCAGAAAAAGACTCAGGATGGAAAGCCGGAGGCGAAGGGAGGTGTCCAGCATTTTGTTGCCTCCATGTCGAGCGGTCGACGCTTGTCCAGAACGGGGCGGCGCCGGCGGCGAGTCTTGTCCAGAATCGCAGGACCCGCTGTTGGTCTTCAACCACATTCTTCCTCCCCCCGTCCCGATCTCACCGAGCCTCACGACGGATCGTGCTCGAGGTTCGAGGTTCTGGCCGGCACCTTCCGGGCCTTTGGGCTGGCGCCGTTGCCACCGCGCCCGGGGCTCTGCTCAGGAAGCTGGCTGGGATGGGGCCTGGCGGGGCCAGGCCCGGCCATCGTCCGCTTCGACAGTCGAGGCGGTTGGTCTGCCGCCCTTGGCGGCCGGCTTGCGAGGGCTTCGGGGCCGTCGGCGAGAACGGTTTCGGAGGGAACGCCGGCTGTGGGGAGGGGGCCGAGGGCGACAGCATCGGAGCGCCCGATGTCTGGGGGGGGGATATCTCAGGAGGGGAAAGAACACACAGACACAATTAATCGGCGATTCCAAGAAAATATGGGAAAATATGGGAAGTGGGGGGGAAGACAAAAACCCAGAAAATATAAGAAAATATGGGGGGTATTTTTATTTGTGTGTGTCCCAGTTCCCCTTCAATATCACCTGGGACCCCCCTCGCGACTCCTGCGAGAGTCGAGGAGCCTCCCCGGGCATCCCACGACGTGCTCGTTCACCACGTGGGCCCCTGGCGGTCTGGGCCCCTTCCCCAGGGCCGGCTTCTCGGCCCGAGTTGTAAGTCGGGCCTGTCCCTGTACAGTCGGGGGCGGCAAAGAGGGGGGTGATGACTAGGGGGGGGTGGATATCATGGCGGGGGCCATGATATTTTCCCAGATTTCATAGCGCCTCTTCTTGTTTCATTACGTCCCTGCCCCCCCGCTGGGCCGCGCACATGCCGCCGGTCATGATTTGCACCCCCCCCTCTTGGACACCCCCCTCTTTGCCGCTCCCGACACAGGAGGAATATAGTCAAAAATGGTAAAAAAAAGTCGGGGGACGATCTTTTGATTTCTTTGTTTTCATTATTTTTGGGGGTATCTTTTCGCTATTTTTCATTCTTCGTCCAACGTCCGCCTGCAGGGGGACAGGCCCGACCGAACCTGAGTTGGCTTTTGACGGCCTTGTGGCCCGGAAAAGGCTCCCAGAGGCCGAACATTGTATTCACAAAGCCTTCCCTTCGCCCCACCCACGCCTGCGCGCCGCCCGCGAGCAGGGCGCAGGGCGGACCGGCCGGCGACTGTGGGGCCGCGGGGGTCGCCGCCCACTCCAGGTGCTGGTACCTGTCCCGGGGAGCCCCAGAGCTGGCACGAGCATCCAGAGGAGGAGGAGGAGGAGGAGGAGGAGGAGGAGGAGGAGGAGGAAGAGGAGGAGGAGGAGGAGGAGGAGGAGGAGGAGGAGGAGGAGGAGGAGGAGGGCCGCTAAGCTGGCCAGACGCGCTCGCCTCGCGAGCAGGGCGCACGACGGAGGGTTTCTCTGGCCGTATTTGGGCCTCCGCGGGCCCCCGCCGGGCCCGGGGCGCCGTCTGAGATCGGCTCGTGCGCCGTGTCACGCAGGGCGTCAGTGAGGTGGCAAGTGGCCCCCACACGTGGTGTGAACATATGCAGCTGACCGCACTTGCGAAGTTTCGTGCACCGCTCCCACGTCGTCAGAAAGTGCAAAACCCTGGGGAGCGGGTCCAGATTTTTGGAGGTCCCGCCGTGAGCGCATCATGCGCTGGCGCAAGTGCAGACCCTCGGAGGTCCCCGGATTTCCGACGGCCTGTTTTTTTTTTTTTATGCTGGGCGCTTTTCCTCGACTTCGGCCTCCAGGGCCCAGTATTGGGCTCTCGGAGATCAGTAATGGGCCCAGGGCGAGATGCTGGCCCCGGGGAAGGGGTCGGGAGCTCTGGGGCCGCGGCTTGAAGACACCGCATCGGCGGGCGTCCTGGCCCACGGGGATATTTTTCCTGGGGCAGGCGCTGGACCGCCCCACCCCACACAACCCCGACAACATAACGAATCGGGACGGCAGCTTTTTCACAAGCCTGGGCGATTTCCTTTGCGGAGCTGGGCCCCCTGGCGCGAACGGCCGAACGACCCTCGCAGCGGGACGCTCTGGCGACACGGTTGCCGCCGCAAAGACTGCCGGTTTCACGCCTGCGCCGCGCAAAAAGGCGGCGCCGAACAGAGTGTGCAGCCTTTCGAGAGGCTGGCTTGGGGCCCTGCCTTCAGAAAGCGACCGTGGATGAAGCGCGAGCCCTGGGGAAGGCGTCGTTGGGGCCCTTTGTCTCAAACAGCCGGGAGTAGGCAAGGAGGAGGAGGAGGAGGAGGAGGAGGAGGAGGAGGAGGAGGAGGAGGAGGAGGAGGAGGAGGAGGAGGAGGAGGAGGAGGAGGAGCTGGTGGCCCTCCTTAGACAAAACGCCGAGGCGCCGCGCGGCGGGGACCCGCCCTGCCCTCTCCCGGCGGGCTGCCGCGCGCCTGGGTGAAGGGGCGCGCCTGGCGAGGGAGAGGCGTGCAGCGCGCCGACCCGAGAAGTCCGCGCGGACCTGCGGCAGTTCTTCACCTCGTGCTGCGTCGCTCCCAGACCCCCTCGAGTAATGAAAAAATCATGACGGGCGGTTTTTCCTAATTTTCGGCCTCCGGGGGGCCCTCACCGGGCCTCGGGAGCCTCCAAACACGACTCAGGATGCAAAGCCGGTCATGGGGAAAGGGTCCAGACCTCTGGGGGTCGACGTAATGAAAAAATCATTACGTCGGGGGTCTGGGTTCCCAGATAAAAAATAATATAACTCTAACGACTTGTCGAATTTCGAGAAAATTATTTTCAATATGACAAAAAAGGACAAAGCTTCCGTCAAGATTTCTCGGGCAAGCTAGCCCGCCAGCGCGCCGAACTTACGTCGACCGGCGCCCCAGTGTTCTCGGTGCGTGGACTCTTAGGAGTCTGGACATTTTCCCCGGCGCCGGTTCTGCATCCCGAGCCGTTTTTTGACGCTGCCGGTGCCTGTTGAGGTCCCCGAGAGGCCAAAACAGTGAAGAACGGCCGCACCAAGGCACAAAAAAGGGCAGCATCGTGCAACATCACAGCCGGAGCCCTTCTGCGCACACCATGTCGTTCTTTGGCCAGGTTTTCTGGTCTGCTGGTCAGTCTCGGAGGGTCGTGGGGCCCTCTGACGGGGCGCAGTCGCCTGCTATGCAAAAAGTGCGATGCCAGGATCTCAGGAGGTCGTGCCAGTTCCTTTGGGGCTCTCCGTGTCCGACGCCGGGGCGACCTGCTCCTCGACGTGCTCGAGGCACCGACTGCAGGTGTCGCACGATCGCAAGCATGGATCAAGGGGGCGCGGACCAGCGTTATGTCGGGCGTGTCCCCCTACAGGGGGATTTTCGACGAAAAATGAAAATACCCCAAAAATGTGCAAAAAGGTAAAAAAAAACACAAAAAATTGTCCACAGACTATTTGTGGAGTATGTTTTGATTATTTTTCTGGTAATTTTTATTTTTCGTCGAAAACCCGCCTGTAGAGGGACACGCCGACTTAAATCAAGGGGGCGTGGACTAGCGACGGGTCCCGTTTCCATGGGCAATCGCGGATCTCCGCCGCTGGGCGAGGCGGTACTGGCCGCATGCTGGGGAGGTGCGATCCATGGATCTGGCGACCGCGCGCCAGATCCATGGATCACTGGTGGCCACGTCTGCGCGCCCCCGAAGGTGTCGTGGCTGGCGGCGCCCGAGGACGCGCCGCTTCTGCCGCGGCTGCTCGGCGTCGCGCCGGCGACGCGGCAGGCGCCCTGGGCCGCCCTGGAGTGCTACGTGCCAGGGGAGGACAGGCGCCTCCGTGGCGCAACCCTCCTCGAGTTCCTGGCGTCTCGATGTTTTCGAGCCGGGCGTTCTCGCCAGGCTTCGGGCCCCGCGGCGCTCACAGATCGATCCGGCTCGACAGATGGCGCAGAAGGATTGGGTCCAGGGCCAGCCTGATTTTTGGCGATGTTGCCATTGTCTCGCGTCGTCGGATCTCTAGATCGCGTCGTGAGACAGTCGCGACGGAAGGATTTTTACCATTCTTGGCCTCTGAGGGCCCTCACTTGGCCTCGGGACCGTCGAAACACAACCCAGGATGAAAAACGGGTCCCCGGGAAGGGGTCCAGGTCTCTGGGGGTCCACGTTCTGGACGCCCGAAATGGGTACGAAAAGAATGGGTACAATGCCCAACAGCAGTTCCTGTTCATTTTGAACAGGCTTCGCTGTCCACGCCGCCGCGGCCTGTGTCCATTCGAGACAGAAGGCCGCATGCCCAACAGCGGCCGCTGTTGGTTTGAGACAACATGTGTTGCTGGGCATTGTACCCATCTTTTCCGTACCCATCTCGGGCGTCCAAACATGTGGGGAAGCAGTCATGGCGCCGGGGGTCTGTGCACGCGTCCTGAGGGAAACGGGTTCCGAGGTTTTCCACGGCTCCACGGGCCCTCCACGGGCCCCACGACGTGCCAGCAAACGACCCAGGGCGGAGAAAGCCTGTCGCGGGGGAAGGCCCGTGGGCCTCTCGGGACCCCTTTCCTTCGGGACCCGCTCCCCGCCCCCCGACGCCGCGATGCATTCACGACGTCGACCACTGGCGGTCTGGACCCCTTCCCCAGGATTGGTTGCTCACCCTGAGTCGTTTTCTGACGGTCCCGGGGCTCAGCGAGGCTCCTTAGAGGCCGACAAGTTTCCACTCGCGCTTTTTCCCTGACCTGAGGGGGCTTGGAGACAGTCTTGTTAAGGGTCCGCCGATAATCCAGTTTATCGGCCCCGCCTCTCCCCCCCCCGACAACCTGACCTTGTCAGTGGCGCAGGTCCGAAGAAGGGGGTACGCAGTACTGGCGTGCGCGGGCATGAGCGGGGCTGCCCGCAGGGAAACGATTAGGGTATCGGCCGGCACTTCCCCCCCCCACTGGATAATGTGGGTTCTCGCCGAACTATGAAAGACGATCTCCCGAGCTTGCCTCGTGCCCACAAATGTCCGCGCGGATTTCTCGGATCGGCGCTGGGCCTCCTTCCTGGCGCACGGAGCGCGCCAGGGGCTCCCAGCGCGGGTCCGCGGCTTCCGCGCGGACCTCCGAGTTTTTCTGATGAGGTCACTGTTTGCTCCACCATGGGCCTGCCTCGTGCCCACAGATGATGGGCCTGTTTTCCACCACCACCACCATAAGTTGGAGGGGGAGGGGGTCCTCCTCCTCCTCCTCCTCCTCCTCCTCCTCCTCCTCCTCCTCCTCCTCTTCATCCGCCTTTTTCTCCCCCTCCAACTTGCGGCGGTGGTGGTGGAAAACAGGCCCATCACACAGACCCACACATGCGACGCCCGGTTTTTTTCAGGGCGGCGTCCCTGGAAGTCCCGACCCTTTCCCCGGGACCGGTTCTTCGTCCTGAGTCGTTCTTTGACGCTCCTGGGGCCCGGCGAGGGCCTCCTGGGGTCGAACATCGCGAAACACCTCCCGTCCTGATTTTTTTACGACGCGATCATGTCTGGGGTTATGTCGGGCCTGCCCCCCTACAGGGGGATTTTCGACGAAAAATAAAGAATACCCCAAACATACTTAAGAAATAATCCAAAAGTTGGCAGGGGGTTATTTTTTTGAGTATTTTTTTCACCTTTTGGGGGTATTTTTGGGGTGTCGAAAATCCCCCTGTATGGGGGACACGCCCGACATAAGTCTGGGGAGGTACCACACCGCCCACCCCGCCGGCAAGGGCGCCGAGGACCCCGCCGGCTGGAGCTACCCCACCTGCCGGCTGGCCTGCCCGTGCGAGGAGCCGCCGCCGCCCACGGAGGGTGCCGCGCGGCTCGCGGGCAGCCCCTCGCCCGCGGTGGGCAGGCCGCGGCGGCGAAGCCCAAGCCCTGCCCTCGCCGATCGGGGTCCGCTTTTGCGTCGGGCCTGTCCCTTTGCAGGAGGAGCATTCCAGAGCAGTTTAAGACAATGGCCTGGGGACGATGCTCTCACCATGCTTGACCACGTGGGAGTATGTTTTGACCATGCTTCTTTGTTCGTCCCAAAATCCGCCTTCAGGGGGACGCCCGATCTAAGGTCAGCTGGGACATGTGCCGAGGATCGTTATGGCTTTCTGGCCACAAGTGTCTGTCGACGCGCTGGGTGTCGTTGCGTGCGTGCTTGCACAAATAGGCGCAGTCGATCCACAATCGGCGGCGAGCGAGGGGCGGAAGTGAGAAGGGGGAGGCCGTCTCAGACGGCGGCGGGGCTTCTGTCCGACCTCATCAGCCTGGCGTTGTCGGAGGGCACCGCCAGCTGTCGGACCTCATCAGGGATGGACACGTCCAGCTGGTGCCCCCGCCTCCTATCGACCCAGGAGAGAATGGATGGTTGATGGGGGGGGCAGTGTCCGGTTCTCGCTGCCCAAGGCTGGAGGTCTTCCACGCTGGCGCCTGGGGCACCGTGTGCGGGGACAGCTTCTCTATCCCGACGGGGAAAAACACGGCGTGGACATAGCCTTTGCCAGGGCCCAGGCGGACTTCTCGGATCGGCGCCGCCTCCCAGCGCGCTCCGTGCGCCAGGGACGGGGGGATCCCAGCGCTGATCCAGGAACTCCGCGCGGACCTCCGACAGACTCATGACTATGCCAGTTTTTTCTGCTTCTGCCATCATCGAGGCCCAGGTGGTTTGCGAGCAGCTGGGCTACTACGGCGGCTTCCCGACCGGCGCGGACGAGTTCGGGGCGGCTGGCGGCCCGGTCTGGCTGTCGTCCTTGGGGTGCGCAGGGTCCGAGGCCGCGCTCGGAGCCTGCCCTCACGCTGGGTGGGGGGCGAACAGCTGCAGCCACAGCCAGGACGTCGGTGTCGCGTGCGCGGAGGCGATGACCATCCAGGACCAGGTGCGGGGCCTGATCAGGTCGCAGGAGCAGCCGTCGAAGTGCTGGCGGGGCGGCTACATCCCGAACTTCTGCTGCCACCCCGCCCTGGGGCCTGGAGGTAATCACGTGTGCTGGGGGCAGCAGGGGGGAGGCAGGGCCGCCGCTCTTGCGGCGGGGGACTGCTGCAACGAGTCGACGTGGACGGCCCTGGAGGTGACCTCCTACCACCAGGTCCTGCAGATGGAGTGGCAGCGGCGGTGCGACGCTGAGAGGGAGGTGCCCATCTACGACGGCCGCCCTGAAGAGTGGATGGGAGCGCTCTCTCAGGATGGCAAGGCTTCGGGTTCCGCACAGACAGCCCCCCCAGGTAATCAGTCCTGGCTGGCCTCAGCACGCCCCCCGAGAAGCTTTGAGCGGTCTCGACACCCCAACCCTGGGGCGCGGAGCGCCGCAGGGACGCCGACGAAGGCGGCGCCAGGGTGTTGAGACCACCCTGGGCTCCTCGGGGGCCTGCGGACGCCAGCTGGGACCACCTGGGGGGGGGATGTCTGTGCGCAGCCCGACGCCTCACCATCCCAGGAGCTGCTGTACTGGTTCGGGTGGCTGCGGCAGGGCGCCTACGGCGTGGGCCGGCGGCCGGACCGGGCGGAGTTCCTGCGCGACACGGACCCTGCCGCGCCGCTGGACGCGCGCGTGCGGGGCCTGCTGCTGCGTGCGCGGGCGGGCTGGCCCTGGCCGTGGAGCACCCGGGCCCGCGTGCTCAACATCGGCTCCGGGGCGCTGAACGGCGTCGGCCACGAGTGGCCCGGCGTGGACGTGGAGGTTGAGCATCGTCTAACCGATGCCTATCCCCAGTGAGCCATGGTGTCGCAGCCCCACACGCCCATCCTCCCAGGTGGGGATAGGCCCCAGGAGACCCGAAGGAACTGGCACATATCCCATATCCCCATGTAGGTGGATCTGTGAAACGATGCCCAGAGGTTGTGCCCGCGGACGCGCTGGCCTGCGAGTACGCGCAGATGCGGAAGGACCTGGGCATCCGCGTGCGGGTGCCGCCAGTGCCCGCGGAGGTTTGAGGAATAAGGAATACATGATCATTATCATACGAATCATGATAATATCACTAACGCGAATAATAGTCGGAACGCTAATGCGGGTAATAAGATCAATGCTAAGACGATTTGTGGGAATAGAAATATGTATATCACTATTAATGTTGTGAGTAATTTTTGTATTCGAATCAAGAATGATAACACTATGAATTATCCCGGCAAAGCAACCTAACAGCGATGTGTAGAAGCATATCTGAAAGCATTCCCCTTAAGATTCAGATGAAAATCCAGTTGTAGAATTCTGCTGTTCTCGCAGTCGTAGTCGCATTCGCGATGACAGTCGCAGCGGCAACGGCAGTCGCAGTCACAGCCTCAGCCTCAGCCTGCCTCAGCCTCAGCCTCAGCCTGCCTCAGCCTCAGCCTGCCTCAGCCTCAGCCTCAGCCTGCTTCAGCCTCAGCCTCAGTCTGCCTTCAGCCTCGGCCTCAGCCTCAGCCTGCCTCAGCCTCAGCCTGCATCAGCCTCAGCCTCAGCCTCAGCCTGCCTCAGCATCAGCCTGCCTCAGCCTCAGCCTCAGCCTGCCTCAGCCTCAGCCTCAGCCTGCTTCAGCCTCAGCCTCAGTCTGCCTTCAGCCTCGGCCTCAGCCTCAGCCTGCCTCAGCCTCAGCCTGCCTCGGCCGCAGCATCAGCCTGCCTCAGCATTCAAAATGTGGCCCAGGAATGGAGTTCTGGGAACTAGAAGAACACGAAGTGGCCTACAGTTGGCTCTGGGCATTCAAAATCATGCCCAGGAATGGAGTTCTGGGAACTTGAAGAGCACGAAGTGGCCTACAGTTGGCTCCGGGCATCCAAAATGTGGCCCGGGAATGGAGTTCTGGGAAATCGAAGAGCACGAAGTGGCCTACAGTTGGCTCCGGGCATCCAAAATGTGGCCCGGGAATGGAGTTCTGGGAAGTCGAAGAGCACGAAGTGGCCTACAGTTGGCTCCGGGCATCCAAAATGTGGCCCGGGAATGGAGTTCTGGGAGCACCAAGAGCGATTTTGCGAGGATGTCCCAAGCGATTTCGGCTTCGGCGGCACCGCCCCGGGTCCCGCCCCGACCCCACTGTGGAGTCATCTGCTGCTCTCTTTTGAGACCACTAGGAACCTATCAGCAAAAGCTGTTAGGTAAAAAGAAGCTGCAGATCCAAGCAGTCCGCATGGAGCTCCGAAACTTTATAATTTGCAGCTTCTTCTTATTCGAGGTCGAGGGCCTGGTGCAGCGGTTCTGGGAGGGCACCAATGTACCGATACCGCTACTCACTGGACCTGTCTTGGGGTGCGTTCTGAGCAGAACTTCGAGGAGAATCCAGCCGTGGCGACGAGGGTCTCCCAGGAGGCCCAGAGACTCCAACACGAGGCAATACCAGCGGTTACATTGCCGTTTTCCACCTCTGAGGTTCGGGGGCGGCTCCTTCGACGCCGCCTTCGGCAGCAATTTCCTCGACCACGCGCACGACCCCGTGGCTGGCGTGCGGCAGATGGTGCTCTCGGTGCGCAGGGGCGGGCGTGTGCTGCTGAGCCACCGCCGCAACGAGGGCGAGTCCCAGAGCTACGTCGCTCTGCACCAGTGGAGCTGGGAGGAGGAAAAGGTCAGGGTTTCTGGCGTGTTCGTTGGTCCTCGGCGGTCTTCCAGCCTCGGGGGTGTCAGTGGTTTTCGGTTCTTGGTGGCGAGGAGGAAAAGGTCTGAGTGGTCGCTTTAGGTATGGTCGTTTGGGGTATGGTCGTTGTGGGTATGCCTGAACGAATTTAGGGTTTAGGGAGCCCCAATTCGATCAGTTTCGATCTGGTTTCCCGATTCGACGCGAATGATTTCCCGATTCGATGCTGATTGATCCTGCAGTGGACAGGCTCATGTGGACGAAGTTTCGAGGTTCGACGTCTGAGAGGATTTCGGTCTTTTTAGTGGGTTCTCGGCGGTTTTCCAGTCTTGGTGTGCCTTCCAGCTGTTGTGCCTCGCCGAGAGCGCTCTGGAGGTGCCCGGATCATCCCGACCCGACATGGTACAGGTAATCACCGCTACTGCTGTCCTTGCCTCCTTCTCGCCTTTTCGGGCCTCCTGGGAGACCCTCGCCGCCGCGACTGTGCTCGCCTCGAAGTGCTGGTCAGAGCTCGCCCTGGGAGAGGTCCGGGGAGTGGTGCTATCGGTGTCTTCTGGTTTCCCCAGGAACATCGACGCCGCCCCTGCGCTTGGCTCGTCGTCGCAGAGGGCAGCTGTGCACCGCCGCCGTGCCTCAGAGGAGGACAAGACACTGGTACCGTAGCTCGTCCTGGAGAGCTCTTGTCGCCACGGCTGGATCCTCGTCGAAGTTCGAGTCAGAGCGCACCTCGGGAGAGGTCGGGCCGTCCGGGGAGCAGCGGCATCGGGGCATCTTTCTGCCACTCTCGCGGCGGGAAAGATTCACGACGGAAGGCTTCCAGCAGGCTTCGGCCTCTGGGGCGCTTGCCGGGCCCCGGGGCCGTGAGAAGACGGCTCCGGGTGAGAGGCCTGCCCCGTGGAGGGGGTCCAGACCTCTGGGGGGCCATGCTGCCCCAGACATCCGGTTGCTCCAATTTGCTTGATACGTGGGCCCAGGAGGTCCGGACCACTTCCCCAGGGCCAGTTTTTCGCCCCGAGTCGTTTTTTGATGCTCCCGAGGCCCAGCGAAGGCCCCCATAGAGGCCGAAAGTAGCAACACAAACCGCCTGCTCCTTTTTTTTGTTGGAGCGTCGGATCTCTGGGGCGCAAGAAGCACGAGGCTGGATGTGCCATCCCGGCCATCTGGGGGCACCGAGGCAGTGCAAGGCAGGCTTTTCGCCGCGCCGACGCGGCGGCGTTTTTTTGGCGCGGAAGGTCGAACGCCGCCAGTGGCCCAGGAATCGGCCGATGACGAGCGATCTCATCTCTCGAAGCCCAGATCCCCTCGGGTAATCACCAAATCATGACGGGAGGTTTCTCGTGTTTTCGGCCTCTGGCGGTCCTTGCTGGGCCTCGGGACCGTCAACAAGACGACTCAGAACGAGAAGCTGTCAGGAGGAAAAACACACAGACACAATGAATCGTCGATTCGCCAGAAAATATAGGAAAATATGGGAAGTGGGGGGGAGGACAAGAACCAAGAAACTATATAGGAAACTATGGGGAATCCTGTTAATCTGTGTTCATTTGTTTCTGTGCCCCCGGGCCCCTTCTCAAACTGGTCCTGGGGCATCGGTCGAAACCTCTCAGGCTCGACGCTCCGAGCAAAATCCTGACGTCGGGGGTCTGGAAGCTCCGCGAGCTTTCGCGGCGTCCTCTTTGAACTCTTCAGTCTGAGGCCCTTTGGGAGGAGGAGGAGGAGGAGGAGGAGGAGGAGGAGGAGGAGGGAGGGGAGGAGGAGAGGAGGAGGAGGAGAGAGGAGGAGGAGGAGAGAGGAGGAGGAGAAGAGGAGGAGGAGGAGGAGGAGGAGGACGAGGAGGAGGAGGAGGAGGAGGAGGAGGAGGAGGAGGAGGAGGAGGAGGAGGAGAGGAGGAGGAGTGGAGGCGGAGGCGGAGGCGGAGGCGGAGGCGGGGCGGAGGCGGGGAGGCGAGGAGGAGGAGGAGGAGGCGGGAGGAGGAGGAGGAGGAGGAGGAGAGGAGGAGGAGGAGGAGGAGGAGGAGGAGGAGGAGGAGAGGAGGAGGCGGCGGAGGAGGAGAGGAGGAGGAGGAGGAGGAGGAGGAGCTAGGAGGAGGTGGAGGAGGAGGAGGAGGAGGAGGAGGAGGAGGAGGAGGAGGCGGAGGAGGAGGAGGAAGGAGGCGGAGGAGGAGGAGGAGGAGGAGGAGGAGGAGAGGAGGAGGAGGAAGCAGGGTAGGAGGGGAGGAGGAGGAGGAGGAGGAGGAGGAGAGGAGGAGGAGGTGGAGGAGGAGGAGGAGGAGGAGGAGGAGGAGGAGGAGAGGAGGAGAAGAGGTAAGAAAAAGAAGAAAAGAGGAGGAGGAGAGGAGGAGGAGGGGAGGAGGGGGAGGAGGAGAGTGGAGGAGAGGAGGGAGGAGGAGGAGGAGGAGGAGGAGGAGGAAAGTGAGGACGAGCCGAGGAGCCAGGGAGGGGGCCAGAGAGGGGGCCCCCGGGAGGGACCCCCAGGGGAGGAGGCAGAGGCAGGGGGCCCAAGGGGAGGCCCGCGCGGCCGAGGGGGTGGGGCTCCTCCCTCCCCCTCCCTCCTCCTCCCCTCCTTCCCCCCTCCTCCTCCTCCCTCCTCTCCTCCTCCTCCTCCCCCTCCTCCACCTCCTCCTCCTCACTCCTCCTCCTCCTCCTCCTCCTCCTCCTCCCTGGATTTCGGCCTCCGGGGCCCCCTCTCTCGGGCCCGGGGAGCAGCAAGAGTGGATCCCGGACGGGGAAGCCACCCCCGGGGGAAGGGGTCGGGGGACCTCTGGCTCATGAGCACAGCGCGACCCCAATTAGGGGAAAGCTTCCTATTGCATGGGCGGAGCGCTTCGTATTGCTTGGCACTGCTCGGCATTGCTTGGGGTATTGCTTGGGGCATCGATTGTGACCTTGCTTGGCATTGCTTGGGGCATTGCTTGGGGCATTGCTTGGGGCATTGCTTGGGACATTGCTTGGCATTGCTTGGCACTGCTTCGCATTACTTGGCATTGCTTCGCATTGCTTTTCATTGCTTGGCATTGCTTGGCACTGCTTGGCATTGATTGTCATTGCTTGGCCTTGCTTGGGGAACCAGGGGAACCCAAGGAACCAGGGACACGAAGAACCCGGGCAACCCGAGGAACCCGAGGAAACCGGGAAACCGGGGAATCCGGGGAACCCGAGGAACCCGAGGAAGTCGAGGAAGCCCAGGAACCCGAGGAACCGGGGGAACCCGGGGAACCCTAAAACCCGAGGGACCAGGGGAACTCCGAGGAATCCCAGACCAAGTAAGAACCCCTTAGGCAAGCCTCGTCCGGGAATATCGGCGGGTGTCTGAGGAGTCGGAGGATCGCGCCGATTCGCCGAAGCATCGGCGACGTGGCACGATCTGGAGTCTGGCTTCCTCCGTCCCGACGTCGCTGGGGCATCGCGGGTGCATCGCGGGTGCATCACGCGATGCGGTGCGATTCTCCGTCCTCCGCAGCTCCCCGACGCCACGATTTTCCCACAACGTGGCTTCAAGGTCTCCTGGAGGCCGAAACCGGCCAAAAACCTCGTGCCGTGATTTTGACACCTGCTCTGTCTCCGTTTTTTGAGATCCGACGTCGTGAAAAAGACAGCATCTTAGGATACATCGACAGGAGCCCTGGACCCCATCATCCTGCGGCATTTTTTGAGCCGGATCGATCCGTGATGATCCCAGGGCCCAAAACAAAACAAGGCAAAGTCGCCCGTTGGGAAAACTGCGACGCCAGGATCCCACCGTCCCAGACCCCCGACGTCGTGATTTTTTTCACGGCGTCGACCCCTGGAGCTTTGTGCCCTGTTCCCCGGACTGGTTTCTCACTCTCAATAGCTCTCTGATGGCCCTAGGGCCCCGCGAGGCCCCGCTCGCCTCACCGGGGGGTGGTTGGGGACGAGCGACATGGGCACGGACATCATGTGGACGATGACCAACAGCAGTTTCTGTCCATGTTGAACGGGACTCGCTGTCGGTGTCGCCGCGGACGGACGTTGCCCATTTGAGACACATGCTAACTGCTCGCCTGCCCCCGGAGGCCGAAAATGGGGACAAAACCTGCCGTCGTGTTTTTTTTTCAGGACCCGAGGGGGTGTTTGGTGTAGCAGGCCTCCAGGCCGGGCCCGCTGCTCCATTCCCGACGGCCGCGGTGTACTGACTGACGAGTGGATCGGCTGGTGATCGTCGCGCTCTCCCCCTCCGCCTCTCCCCACAACAAAAAAAGGCTCAGAGCCGGAGTGGGTGTGGACCCAGACCCCCGACGTAATGATTTTTTCATTACGTCGACCTCCAGAGGCCCCGACCCTTTCCCCATGACCGGCTTTGCATCCTGAGTCGTTTTTTGAGGCTCCCGAGGCCCGGTGAGGGCCCCCGGAGGCCGAAAATTAGGAAAAACCTCCCGTCATGATTTTTTCATTACTCGAGGGGGTCTGGGAGCGTCGAAGACTGCCTCAGACTGCCGAAAATTAGGAAAAACCTCCCGTCATGATTTTTTCATTACTCGAGGGGGTCTGGGGAGCGTGGCAGGCCTCCAGGCCAGGGCCCCGGCAGCGGCGCGCAGGGTGCCCTCTGCGCCAGCTGCGGGCGGCGGCGGCCTGCGGCTGCGGATCTGGAGGCCGGCCCGGGAGGGCCTGCCCGCCGCCGACCACGACGTCGGGCAGGACTTGCTTTTCGGTCGGGCGGGTCCCTCTACAGGAGGCCTCCTCCTCCTCCTCCTCCTCCTCTCCTCCTCCTCCTCCTCCTCCTCCTCCTCCTCCTCCCCCTCCCCCTCCTCTCCCCTCCCCCTCCCCTCCCCCTCCCTCCCCCTCCCCTCCCGCTCCTCCCCCTCAGCCTCCCCCCTCCCCCCCCCTCCTCACCCTCCTCCCACCTCCCTCCCCTCCCCTCCTCCCCTTCCCCCCCCTCCCCCAAAATAGTATAAAGTAGTCTGGGGACGATCTTTTTACTATTTTCAATTTGTTTTGACCATCTTTCAATTTCGCCCGGAATCCGCCTGCAGGCGGGCATGCTCGACATAAGACTACTTTTGTTCTTCTGTCAGCGATTCATCACAGTTGGGCAAGGTTTACACAGCCCCTGGCTTGTGTTCGTCCGCGGAGTCAGCATGCACAATATATCTAAGTATGTCGGAAGATGCAGGATCAAGGGGAACGTCTGGGTTAGAGAGTCCAGGGT